GTGTCCGCGATGCCCTTCGTTCGCGTTCTCGTCCGTTCGGAAGACGCGCGTGTCGTTTTGGCGCCGGAGGTGGCTCCGGGCCTGCGACGCCGAAGGGCGCCGCGCGCGACTCCCCCGGAAGGCAGGAGGAGCCGCGCCCCGCCGCGGCCAGAGCCGCGGCGAAAAATGGGCTGCGCGGCGGGGCGCGGGCTGCCTCGCCGCGCTGCCGTGCCGCAGGACGCTTCGCAGCGCCCTGTTGCTGCGCGAGGGACCCGGTGGGTGTCGCGCGAGCAGGCTGCGCCCGGCGGCTAGCCGGGCGCGCGCGCAGGAGCGCATAGTGGGCCCATAACCCATAGAGACACAGAGTATGTTAGGAATGTGTGAGAGGACCAGTAGAGCCGGTAGAGGCTCGGTAAGGCCGATGGTGAAGGCAGGGTAGGGTGCTCCTGTGTGTGTGGTGTCTTGTGTTTCCAACAAGGGGCCACTTGGAACAAGCCAGGTAGAGAGTTTTCTCTAGTTAGAGGAATATGGGAGTATCCCTAGTTAGGCCCCTTCTCTCTCCCCTTCAAGTTGTACTTTTTTTCTCAGCGGTTTATGCTAAGGGGAATTACGGGGCTGCACCTGAAAACTTTGAAGGCCCGGGGAATTCCTCGTGGTCAGTATAGTGAACTTGAAAAAAGGGATCTATATGAATAGATCACTAGCTTGAGTCACCATCATCCCCCATAATTTACCGTACATTACTAATACCTTGCTCCCTTCAAGCTACTATCGCGACGTCACACTACTAGTATGGATGACACCGTGACTGCACTCCCCCGTTCAACACTCTGAGAGTTACGCTGACATCCGAGTCAACGTTCCTTATTACCCTAGTTTGGGGCATCTCTCTCTAGGTTATGGTTGCCCTTGCGCAATCATCTCCGTGAAGTCGCTGCCCGCGCTCCAGAAGGGACCCGAAACGTCCCCGGCAACAATGGGCCGGCGGCTGGAGCCTGGGGGCTCAACTCAGGCGCCAGGCCCTCGGGTGGGGCCCAAACTGGAAAGCGCCATATTTCTCGCGTTCGGCGGCACGGGCTGCACATGTTCCGACCACTGTTCGATTATGTTTTACCCCGGCAGCCCAGTGCGTTTTGGGATATGATTGGTGACCCTGGCGTGGCGGCGCGTGAGAGAAACAACCTGCCCTTGGCCTACAGCGGCGGTGGACTCTCGCAGCCGACTCCCGAGTCACACTCGATGGATGGATGAAGCCCAGATGAAGCCGGCAGTTTGCGCGGCTGCGTCCCTCGGCGCCGCCCCGCGTCCGCGGGTGGCATCGTGGCGCGCCGACCTAGCGGACGAGGACGAGGTCGTCGATCTTGAGGATCATGCAGATGCACTCGGTCGCGAGGCCGAGCGCGGAGGTGTTGACGAGCAGGGGCTGGACGACGGCGCGCGCGCGCATGCGGCCGATGGCGCCGCGCTTGACGTCGATGCCCGCGTCGGCCTCGCCGCCGCGGTGGCGCTTGCGCAGGCTCCTGGGCAGCACACGGGTGATTCAACGTCGCTTCAACGTGGGCGTTCCGCGCGCGCGCGTTCCGGAAAAAGCGTCCGCGCTTCGACGCCGTTCCGAGAGATGATCGCTCGTCCAAAAATCAGCCGAAACGAGTGGAAAACGG